GAAGGTTGTGGGAAAGTGGGTCACACGCCACTCAGAAAGTTTTCCTTTCATTTCAAGTGGGAAGAATTCATTTATAAAGCATTTACACTGAGTCTAAAGGAAATCTGGCAGAGAAAAAAATCAGAGGCAGTGTAGCCAGCTGAAGCAGTTATTTGGAGTATAAGCTGAAGTTTCATAAGAATAAATTTGGGGGAACATTTAAAACTGAGAAAATCACAAGAACTGAGTTGAGGCTTGTAGATTGTGGGGAAGATAAACTTCTGCTCAATTGTATAATTTCTTATATGGTAGCTCTTATAAACTGGTTAGGTGGGTCCAAACTGATACAAACTGAACAAAATTCCAAATGTACCTTCTATCTCCATAGCATTATTAGACAACATGCCTAAGAGTCACATGTGATTTCCATCCTGGGCATCGTCAATATGGGGTATTTTCGCAGTTCTGTTGGACACCCACTGGCTTACAGCATAAGAACTTTAGGGACAAAATCACCCATGTTGAAGACAGAGCAGTGTTGGTGGGCAGCTTGTGGATTTCTAATGTCATGTTAAGACTATAGCTTTTGTCTTTTTCACTCTGGTGTGTCAGAGAAACTTCTAAACAGAATGGCAAAGTTGCATCTATGTGCCGTCAAGATAACTGGAGGTTAGTACACATGTGTATTCTTAAGTTGCAGAAGGGGGGGCTCAATTTGGAGACCACTGTAATTGCTTAAGAAGCAATGTATTACTGAAAATAAGAACCAGAGCCTCAAGGGAAGATAACGTGTGGAAGGGTCTCCCAACTATTCAATTTACAGAATCCTTTCTGTAAAAGGCTAACATCTTTTCCAGCTAGTACATGTCTACATGAATAAACATCCATCTACCCTTCAGAGGATGTAATGGAATAACAAACACCTGTGTCCATCTGCAATTTCACAAATCATAAAAGATTTTTTTTTCTTCTGAAATGGTGTTTGCCAAAGATCCCAGGAGGTCTTTTGTGATATTGGTAATATGATAAATACAACAAAAAAGGTCTGCTTAATTAATTATAAAATGTCAGGTATGGTGGGATATTTTAGGCGACGGCAATCATTAGATGTCGATTGCAAAGGCAGTCAGGTGACGTGCTTCTGTGTGCAGCTGGGCCCTGCTCGCAGTTTGCTTTCCATTCTGACATCATAATAGCATCCTTTCATGTTACTCTTCACAAACTCGATAAATGGATTGATCGCTGAATAAAACTCTCATTAAAAAATCTAAATTTATATGAATAGTGGTACTTGAATGAATTTGAATCAAATGGAAAATGAATCATATAAACAAATAATGTTTATATGAGGAATGAAGGCACTGCCTATAACTCTTGGTCATAGATTTCAGAAATAAAATAATTTTTGTGGTTTTCATCTGATGGGTACTTTCACTTGTTTATAATATTTGTATAGATTATTTCAAAGCATCAATCATAGAAAAGGGAAAGTAATTATTTTATATGAAAGGTAATTTTTTGCCATTTTCTTCCCTTTTTATCATATATATATGAAATATTATATATAAAGATTATATATATATCTTTTTCACATAGGTTTAATTTAATTTCATGGTTATGAACAATTCTAGTGTCACTATTATTTATTTTTACGTCTAAATTTTATCATGTTTTATAATATAAAATAATAAATAAGACCAGTTTATTGTCCATATTGTTAATTTTTATTGATGTGAGTTTTATTATTTTTCTCAAATATTTATTTTCTTTTCTTTGACTGTGTGTGGATATGTGTATATGAGTACAGGGGACCTTAGAGTTCAGAAGAGAACACTTAATCCTCTGGACCTATAATTACAGGCATTTGTGGACCATTCATAGGGGGTGCTAGGACTCAAACTCAGTTCCTCTGAAAGAGCAATATGCCTTATGTACTCTTAAATACTGAGGCGTTTTTAAGTCTTTTCTTGATTATTTATTATGAAAATATCTATTTTATCCTCTAAAAGTAGTCATTAATTCTTTTATTCTTGTTTGGAAATTTCATGTATGCTTGCTTATATTTTGATCCAGTAGATGCCCATTCCCTCATCTATAATTTTACCCTACACCTCCCAACAATTTTCTCTTCTATTTCTGTGCCTTCTCCTTTCATACTCATTGAGTACACTTACTGCTACTGGTATGTGCATAGATGTAGGGCCATTTACTAGACCACAAGCCTGAAGAAGACTAACTCTACTTCCTCTGCAGTTATTAATTGCCAACACCTCCTGAAATATGAATGGGACTTCAGGAGGCCCTTCTCAAGTTACCCTGGGACTGGCAGGCTTTATCTTGCTCAGATCTTGTGCATTTGATCATTGGTACTATGAGTTACTGTCTGCAATAGCTCTGCCATTTTGGTGAAACTGTTTCACCATAGATGTCGACTGCCTCTGGCTCTTATAATGTTTCCTCTGCCTTTGACCATAATGACTCTTGAGTCTTGAATTTTGGGTGTGATGTCCCATTTCTATAGCTCTTATTTTCTGACCATTGAGCTTTTGTCAGTCTTTGAAAAAAGAAGTTTAACTGATAAGGGTTGAGAGGCACACTAATCTACACATCTTGATTTCCTAGGCATCATACTGTCCAAATTTTCTTCTTTTTATCTCTTGCATCACAATATATTTTTAATTAGCTTACAAAATAGACTTTTACATTCTTTACACACCATACATTTTCTTTAACCCTTTCCCTCTCTTTTTCTCTCCACGTTCCCATCTCCTGCCCTAATTCCAGCATAAACCTTTATTTAGCTCCTGATACAGTCCAGACCCTCTATTTCATGTCATCTGTGTTCTATCATGCTTTCATAAATTTTACTTTGGTGGCAAGATCATTGTTCACATCTATATGTTTACATTACAAAATGTCTACAGTTCATTTTGTTAACCCTTTCCATCACCCCTTGTTCCATAATCTCCATCATTTTATGACCAGCCTGGGTCTTTTTGCCTCTACTCCCCCTCCTCTTTACCTTCATTTTCATGTTACTCTCATTGGCCCCTCTCTCCTCACTGAATCCCCTTCCCTGGACCATTTCTAGTTTCCTACCTTTCACATGAACTCTAGAACAGAAGGTAAGAAGTTAGAATCCTCCACTTTATTGAGATGCGATCTCCCACTGAACCCATGGCTCACCGAGTAGGCTAGTAGAGGTAGCTGGCTTGCGCTGACTCTGTCTTTTGGCTCCTGAGCTCTGTTGTAATCAGCAGTCACCACACCTGCGAGTCATTTTATTTGGGTTCTGAGAATCTGTGCTTGACTGCTCAGATTTGCAGAGCCAATGCTCTATCCACTGATCCATTTTCCATGTGTTGCGTGTGCTTGGTTATTAGTATTTATTTGTCTTTATTTTCTACGATTTAAAAGCACAATAGCTTTGAATGAAAGTTCAAATTTTAAGAAATCCTTTATCTGTTTGATTTTTAAACATTGCCCATAAAATATTTCATGGCTGTGAGATACAGCTTTTTAAATTTTAACATAAAGAAAAAAAATTGGTAAGCATCTATATTAGAAAGAATTAAACTCAGAGAAATGATTTTATAGTCTTGACTTCTAATTTACTGCCAATTTGACAATGAAACAATGATTATAGTGGGATTTCCAATGCACAGCTTAGTTAAATGAAGACATGAAGTATCAAGGCTGCCTAAAGTGGCAGTCCTCTTGCTGTTTTGAGTGATTCATTTTTTTCTAGTATCTACTCTTGTTGTTAGCGTTGTGAGTATGTGTGCTTTGCCATGAATTTTGTAGTGTACTGTGACACGACGTTTTCAGAGAGCAATAGCAACAAAAAAGCAACGGCAGTAGTAAGTGCTGTCTACTTGCTATACACGCCCCATTTAATCATCAGTGTGGTCTGTAGTATTGCAGTTGTCACCTTTGCATGACAGGCATCTCAGAGGCAGAGGAGCAGTCACATTTTCTGTTCAATTTCACACAAGCACAGTTTCATGGGAAACATCTCTCCCAAGTGTGTCTGACTCTAAAGTGCTTAGTTTATGTTGCACAGTTTTCGAATCTTGCCCATGCTATGAGATTTTCAAATATTGTTTTTACTACAGTTGATTATTCAGATCCTGAGTCAGTATGGTTTCTCTGAAGGTAAAGATAGAAACTACAAAGACTGGCAATCTGAGTTCAGTATCATATCTTAAAATTGTTACATGTCCTGTAACAGATGAATGTTTGTTTTTACAGATGTACACAGAAATACATGTACAAAGACATATATTAAAATAAAAATTTTACTCAGAACTTATTATGTGATTTTAGTTTGGTATTTATCTCAAATAATCCTGGTAAAATAGGAATTATAGTTATCATCAAACTGAGCTTGATTTTTCTATAATATGCTACAAATTTACATAGGCGCTCATATGCTACACACAGGGAGAATTGTAGCACTGTTCAAATGAGCCTAGTTTTTCACATCTATTGGTCCTGAAACTGTGTTTTTAAATTTTTATAAAATGGCTCTTTGCACTCACTCACTCCTATATATGCCATATTTTCTCTGTCCTTTCTGGCATTTCCAACTCTTTTCAACATCAGACTATTTCTTTCCATTATTTATTCTCATTATAACTAAGTGAATTATATAACTTTCAATATAAAATCATTTGTGACATTATGATTGTAAGTGTTCAAAACCATAAAAATATAAAGTTTATTATCATTTCATGCTTAGATTCATGGTTGACAATATCTTCATAGATTAACTTTGTAGAGGCATATGAGTTTTATTTCTAAAGTTATTTTTTTCTTTATATACATTTTGGAAGAGAAGAAAAGTTAATTATGCCAGTAATTTAAATCTAAAAAATACATTACAGTTGAAAATAATCAATATTTGGAAATCACACTATTTTTTAATTGACTTTCATTTTTCTAGTGCCTCACTGGCAGAAATATATTTATTTTCTTTGATCCTGTTTTTGGTCTCAACATCTCATTTATCATTTTCTCAGGTATCCCCAGCTCTCCATGCTGGATCCACTCTGATTCCCATGAATAACATTTCTCTGCCTCAAGGAGAAGATGATTATGGTTACCAATGTTTGGAGGGCAAAGATTGTGCTAGCTTTTTCTGCTGCTTCGAAGACTGCAGGACAGGGTCCTGGAGGGAAGGACGGATACACATACGCATAGCCAAAATCGATTCCTACTCGAGAATCTTTTTCCCGACAGCTTTTGCCTTGTTCAATCTGGTTTATTGGGTTGCATACCTTTACTTGTAAATTCCACTAATAGATAAAAATCATAAATGTATGGCTTAGACCAATAGACTCAGTTATATTCTAGTAACATGAAGTTTAAATTTAAAATAAAAGAGTCTATTGGTAAAAATCTGAATCATACTGTTATAAGACTAGGGCTTTCATACATGAGTAAGGCAGAAATATTCAGGTTAATTTATCTAAATGGACATGAAAACTGATTGTCAAGTATAACACACTGAAATTATAATGTATATTTTTACTTTACTTTTCTTTATTTTGCTTGTATTTTATTAATATTGGAACTTAATACTTCTGTGAGACATATTTTGAATATGAAATAATTTTAATACATATTTTATTTAAATATAACTATTGCTTATAATGAAAGATTAATGCCTAGTATTAAAGTACTCTTTGCCTAGATTAGTCATTAATTTGATTTTATTTCTTGTTTTTACTTGCCCTGTTTGGGATATAGATTGTTTAAAACAAAGCCATGATTTTCTTGGATTTATTTCCATGATACATTACTCTTGAGAAGAAAATAATATGTGTATTAATGCCTTTTTAAATAATTTCCCTTTGTGAGCTGTTAATTTGTAATTGTACATGTTTATGGATTTACAGAATAAACAGTGCTGTTGTGTCTTATTTTGGATATGTGAAACCATTAAATCAAGTTACTTGGCAACTACAATTTCTAAAATGGCCAATTTTATCTGTAATCCACTTTCTTTCCTGCTCAAGTGTTAAACAAAATCAAGCCACATTTAATTTGAAGATTTTCAAAGTTGGATAGAAAATACTAAAGCCATTTTTTTACTTTGTTTGTACTGCAAGGTGAGAAAAATGTCAAAGTTATTTTCTGCCTTGTACGATTGATAAGGTATAAAGAGGTTAAAAATGTACCAACAAAAAATCAAGTGGGAAATGTTCCTTTTTCTCATTATGCGCTACAAAAAAAGAGTATTACAAGTTCAAAGGAGCATTACGTCAAAGTGTTTGATTTAACTCTGCTTAAAGAGTCATCTAGCAATCTAAGCTTCAGGTTGTCTTTGAAGATAGACTTAAATATATTCCATTGACATTTTATAAGGCAGATATATTTGGGAAACCTTGTCAGAATGTTTTATATACCCACTGAAATCCGAGGTGAGCTTTACAATGTAGTATAATCATTGGGTTCTCTCTTTTAGACATGTGGGAAGCCGCAAAATTCACCTTACAAGTGGACTTTGTGAGAGGTATCTGTAATGGACTTGAGTAAGGACATCTCAAAATCCCTCCAGTGAGGAGAAGAAAGACTGTAGAGAGACTCATTGTAAGGAAAGTCAATGCTACATCTGGGAGCAGAGGCTTCAGCTTAGATATAAACAGTAGAAATCTTCGCTGTGGTTCTAGAGAGATGGCTCAGTATATAAGGGCATTTTATGCTTTTGCAGAGGACCCAGGTTCAGTGCCCAGCATCCAATGACAGTTTACAACATTCTGTAATGCTTCGAATTAGAAGTTCTCTTCTGGTGTGGCTGAGCCGCATGTACTTGGTGTACATAAAGACATGCAGGCAAATGTTCACACACTGTACAAATAAATATGTAAATCTCAGAAATGAAGAAATGCTCAATGTTCACAGCAGCCATCACAATGAAAGGTTTCATATGGAAGGACATGTTGAGTTTGGAGAGCAAGCTGCCATGGACATGTTTGACACACATGTTTGTATTTCAATAATTGCTCCCTGTGGTGTGACATTCTCTGGACGAATTTCGAATGTATTACAATGTGACTTGGCCAGCTAAGTAATCCTCCATCATTCTCAAAACCTCTAAAAAATACACAGGAGTTGAAGGACAATAAATATTAACTTTTTAAAAAAGTAAAATGCCAAATAAAGTTTTGGCTATATGTACACTAACTTTTAGATATTCCACTCATTTTTGATGACATTAAATATTCATATATGTTAGTAAGATGAACATTCACGTAAGAAAGAAATGAAATATGGAGTATCTGTTAAGACATAACATGCTTCAGTATATTTTTTGGCTATTTTCCATATTTGTAGTATTGGCTTGCTCATCATTAATAGTGTTTAATTTAGTGGCTCTTTGAATTGTATCTAAGCATGACTAATTGTTAAAATACTTTTAAATGCTTGATATAAATACCCTCGAGTTTTCATTGCTGTTTTATAAACTAGGCTATAATGTTGAAAATATTTAGCAGTGAAAATAAAATTATTAAAAATATTATATGCTTTTACATATATTCCTTGTATATATGCATACACACATATATACATATATATGTATATGTGTATATAAATCATCAAATAAGCACTTTGTTTCAAAGCCAATGGTATTATATTTAATTAGAAAGATTAGAAAAAGAGGCATGCAAGCCTAATTACATTGAAACCTAGAACCAAAAAAGTAAAATTTTATTTAGGTATTAATGACTCAGATGAAACTTATAGCTTATTTTTAAGGGAATAAAACCCAATTTTTGTTTTAGTCCATGTTTTCAAATTTAAAGTCAACTATGTTGAATTATTTAAATTAATATGACTTTTTTATCTAGATGATTTGAAATAATTAATTAGGTTTATGTGGAGATTTTTCCTATACACATGGGAAAATTATTTTTACTACTAACATAAAACAAAAATATAATCACTAGGAATGACAAGTAAATGTCAAACAGAAAGATGTAAAATAATTTGAAAAAGTGTTAATTTATATAGACTTAGTTTCCAGTCACACAATTAGTATTCAAAAATTTAGGAAGCAGAATGTGCACAGCAGTATTTTATCCACCTAAATAAAACAGCATAGTAGCATTTTATATGTACAGTAGCATTTATATACACTTGATTTGCATCCTAAGTGGTTTTCTCTATATATCCTGTTATATCCAGAACATTATTTTGAACAGTAATGCGCCCCTCACATGTTAAAATACATACACAAGAACAATTGTTAACAAAGCCTGGCCATTTGGAATGACCTTGTGACTGAGTTGTGTTTTCTCCCAATTTAAAGTGACATGCCCATATCATCCCACAGTAGAAATAAAATATAAATAAATAAAAAATAAAATGAGGGCAATCAGGGATACAATGCCAACTGAGTCTGCCCTTCAAGTGGTAAGACTCTGAAGAGCTGAATATTTTGTGTCTATGATGTGCAGGCAAAAATTGAAGAAATTACTTCCAATTTCTAGTGGAACAAATGCTAAAAACCCTAAAATGGCTGTTATGGCACTTCAACCCCAAATCTAAAGCAAAGAGATAACTGTAAATGGGTTTCCCTACTGAAGAAATTGTGGCAAGGTGAAAGTAAGCACTGTCACAGAAATTTTTTTTAGTGTGTATATAGAAATAGACATAAACACAGAGGATGTGAATACAGATATAAACATATACTTGCTGTTTTATTGTTTATTTAATTACTGGTTATGAGTTTAAATTTTATTGTTCATATTTAAAGTTATTTCTTGTATAATCAAAGTATAGGTCATAATAATAAAAAAAAATGTCTTTACCCTAGATACATTTACATTGCCTGAAAGGATTCTGCTTTTCTGTTGCTGAGCAATTTGCAAAAATGCAAACTTCAATGTTGTCTGTTCTAAAAGAAAAAGGAATTGACCATTTTACCATTAAACAAAGATATCAGAATATGGACACACAATGAAAACATTTTGGCTTATTTTCATTCTGTCTAGTTGTGACTTTTAAAAAATGTATTAATGAATTCTTTAACTTTGAAATTTATTAAATGAATTCTCTAATTTTTACATCTCAACTTCATTATTTAGGTTAGTTGAAGTTTCTTGTCTGCCCACTGAATTTTCAGATATTCTACTCCTTACTCTATTACTCTATTCTAAAACAGTTTGAAACTATAGAGATTTAATTAAAATATGTTAAATTTTCTGTTAACTTAATTATATTTTTAGATTAATTAATTTATTTTAGGTTAATGAACATTGCATTGAGATATATGGGTACAAAGGAGGCCACTACTAATACCATTACAAAGATTTTATACTAAGGGTGTGCATGGATATTAAGGGTGAGAAAATTAATGAAGTGCGTTCTAGGACTGAAAGATGAAGATTATACTGTTGACAGAAGTTATCAGTGGTAAATAGGAACTTAGCCTGGATTACGAGAGATAAAGGTTAGATAATAAATTTCAAATGATAAACAAAATTATCAAACATATTAAGTTCAGTTCTTGCATGTTTGTGAATAAACACTAAACCAAAGTTTGGATGTACTACAGTCATGTTGGCTGTTGCACTGCAATCTATTTTAGTTTACATCATCTGTATTTTTGTCTTACGGATGAAGAAAAAGGATTATATCTCAAAATATAAATTTTAGGTAATCTACCAACATAATTACTATTTTTATAAATATCTTCCGTATTAAATATTCCCCACTCCAAATATCAATTCTTTACAACCAAAAAATACACACTTCCTCCTCCCACACACTTGAACAAAAAGAAAGAAAATATTATTGTTTTTCAGATTGTAAAATGGCTGCTGCACATATGTGTTGACCTGGTTTTGAATTTCGAGTACCTTTGAAAAATACCACACATGGTACTACATGCTTATAAATCCCTGTGTTGGGGGCCAGACACAAGCAGAAGCCTAAAGGTCATTAGTGACTCAGTATGTTCAAATCAATGAACTTGAGGGTGGATATGAAACCCTGTCTCAAATGGTGAGTTAGAGACCAATCAAGGAAACCCTTCCAATCAAGGAGACATCTGACCTCCACACATACATTTATAGACACACTTGTGCACACATATGAACACATACATACAACAAATACACATATACAATTTCATACAAACCAACACACAAACACACATGAGTTTTATGTAGATAAACTACCACTGGACCTGATAAATCCATAAAGTTGATTTTTTTTAAATTTTTGACAGAAAAACAACCTATAATTATTTGTCACAAGAATAAATGAATATTTATTATGAGGAAGTGAAATTTATGAGGACTAGATGAGTCTGTGAATAAGAGAGATTGTGATAACTGAAAAACAGGTAAGCAAGGAGGGATTATACAAAGATTGTAAGGCAAAATTTACTTAAAAGAAAATAGTTCCTGTCTTGATAAGTCACTGTAATAACAGTTATTTGCATCCATTAAGTGTGCACAGCCACTTTGCATAATAAAGTATCAGGCTTGTGATTACAGTGACTTTTGTTATGCTTCAGCCTCCTCATTTTGCAGAACATTTGCAAATGTCTCAGAAAAAAATTGCAATTTTTGAAAACATTTTGTACCTTCCTGATTCTAAATATAAAGAAAATCCTGTAATTTTTATGACGTAAAGAGTTCCAGGTTGCATTTTCTCAAAATGATTTCTTTTCATAGTTTCTTGCATGCTTCCCTAGCTTTGGTGACAACAACATAAAGTTAAATCTGGTTAAGGTTGTTTCATAGTTTTTAAATAAAAAAAATCATTTTTTGATAGGAAATTTTTTAAAGAATTAAGCTACAGGAGATCAGGTAAACATGTCTGTTCATGATTTTCATTGCTAAGTGTGTATTCTGGACTATTCTAACTATTGGTAAGTTAAGAATTTCTGAGGTGAATTTAAAGGAAGGAA